AATAATAATAATAATAATAATAATAATAATAATAATAATCGTGATCATAATCATAATCGTAATAAAATAAAAAATCGAATCAATATTTTATTTTTTGTTGTGCATCATCGACAATTGTTGTTATTTATCAACTTTTCCTTTGGTTTATCTATTTATTTTTTTTCCATTCAATAACAAAATTTAAAAAAAAAAAAAAAAAAAAAAAAAAAAAAAACAATCTTCTCTGTAATAAATCATGTTAAAAAGATTGGAAAAAGAAAACGAAAAAAAAAAGTTCAAAATTGTTTTCTTTCTTTTTTTTTGCAAAAATGTTTGTTGAAAATTTCTAAAATGAGAACGTGAGAATTACCGTTTGATTGAAAAGTTTCATTTCAATTTTTTCTTTTTTCCAATTATTGTCCTTCACTAAATCATTTTATTTATTTTGAATTCAGAAATTCACAAATCAGGACAAGAATGCCAATGGTACCATAATAAGGTAAGTACCATAATAATGAATATGGTTACCTTATTATGGTACCATTATAATTAGTAATTGCTCAGTTATTTGTAACCACCGATGATAACTTTTGTAAGAGCTTGAAAATTAATTCCTTACTATTTGCAAAATATAATTACGTTTAAATTAAATTCCACGTTTTTTTTCCTTTCTTTTTTTTATTTTCGTTTTTGCATTCATTTCGTAAATTTATTAGCATAAACTTTTATAAAATGTGCTTACATATAATTCATATAAAACATGCAATTTACATGTCATATATGTAAAATCATGCATGACATGCAACTAATTTCTTGAAATGTCACATATTGTCATCGATTAACCAAATACGTATGCAAGATAGAAAATAAATTAATTAATTAATTAATATGTTTATTTTTAGCTTTTATAAACAAATCAACCAATAAATTGTTAATCATTTATCGAATCTAACAAGATTAGAAGGAACAAAAAAAAGCGAAAAAACAAAAAATTTTCTCTTTTTTTTTCATCCTAAATTTCTTACAATTAAGTTTTTTATTTCTTCCATTTTTTTTAAATTGAGTTTTTCATTTCTTTCATATTCTTTCTCTTTTTTTTTTATTTAAAATATAAATGTAATTATTATCTGATTATTCTCGCTATTTGCAAAATATAATTAGATTTAAATTAAATTCCAATTTTTTTTTCTTTTTCTTTTCTTTTTTTCGTTTTTCGTTTTTGCATCTATGAGTGAATAATTTTGAATTATAATAAATTTTCATTTTTCATAATTAATAATAATTATTTTTCTTTGAAATAATTGGAAAAATTATGCAAATATGTTAATTAATCCATTTGGAATATCAATTAAGACATTTTCATTCCTTAATTATTTTCATTTGAAGGTATATTTTATTAGGATATTGAAAATATTTATGTAATATGTGGATGATAGGAGAAGGACGAGGGAAGGAGGAGAATGAAGGAATGAGGAGGAATGAGAAGAGGAGAAGAAGGAAGAAATGAGGAGGAATGAGAGGAGAAGAAGGAGAAGTAAGAAGTGAGGAGGAATAGAAGAGAGAGAGAGAGAGGGAGGAAGGAAAAGAGGAAATAAAAATTTAATAAATACGAGGAAATAATTCGTTAAAATAAATGGGAATTATTGTTTTTTAAAGAGTGTTATGAAAAAAAAGTGAAAAATGAAAATATAAAAGAATAAGGAAATGAAAAATATTCCTTATTCATTCACTTTTCCTTTCCATTCCGGATGTTATCTCCGGAATGAGAAAGCAAAAAAGAATGATAATGCAAATAAAAATTACTGTTTTACTCCGGATGTTGTCTCCGGAATGAGAAAACAAGAATAGTAATGCAAATAAAAATTACTGTTTCCTTCCGGATTTTTTTTCTTTCATATTCAGGATGACTTTTTCCTTTTCATTTTGGATGTGTGTTTTTTTTCTCTCTTTCTTATTTTTCTCTCTCATTTTAGATATCTCTTTCGCCAAAAAAAAAAAGAAAAAAGGTATTATCGCAAAAATCAGTATTATCATGGTGGTGACATTTCTGATGTCTTTGCGTTTTTTTTCTCTCTCTCTCTTCTTTTTCTCTCTCTCTCTCTCCCTCTCCTATCGAATTCTCTTTGATTATTTGATCAACAACTACTGAATTGTTAAAGGTTTACATAACTTCAAAAATATTCAACAAATCAACAAATTTGAAGAATTCCTTTCTTTTTTTTTGCCATTAAATTTATGAAATATTTCAAAATTTGTTATTTTTTCTTTTTATTTTTCCCTTTTAAATAAATTCAAAACAAATTAGTTATGAAATTATAATTCATTAAAGAGAAATATTTCATTTCAGTCAATTTATCAAATTCAATTACTTGATTAAATTAAAATTTTAAATCTTTCAACTTTCGCTTCTGTATATTCCTTATGTGTATGCATACATGTATGTATGTGTGTATGTATGTATGTGTGTGTACGTGTATGTGTATGTCTATATGTGTTATGTGTATGAGTATGTATATGTATGTGTTTATATATGTCTGTGTATGCGTGTGTATATGTATGTATGTGTGTGTGTGTGTGTGTGTGTGTGTGCATGTGCATGTACATGTGTGTATGTGTATGTATGTATGTGTTGTGTGTGTATGCGGATGTATATGCATTTGCATGTATGTGTGTTGCGTATGTGTGTGCGTATGTTTGCCTACGTATGTGTATGTTGTGTATGTGTGCGTATGTGTATGTGTGTGTATGTGTATGTGTGTGTGTGTACGTGTGTCTGTCTGTCTTTGTTAAATTTTTATTTATAAATTTACCTGCCATTTTCATTTTCCTCTCTCTTCCTCTTATTCGTTCTTTAAAAAATAATATTTGAAGTGCTTTTTTTTTTAATTTTTTCTAAGACTATTTAAAATTTGATAAACATACAATACAAATAAAAATAAACAAATATTACTTATTTACTTTAAGTAAATAAGTAAGTATGAGTGAATTAGTAAGTAAGTATGAGTAAAGTAGTAAGTATGAGTAAAGTAGTAAGTATGAGTAAATTAGTAAGTATGAATAAAGTAGTAAGTATGAGTAAAGTAGTAAGTATGAGTAAATTAGTAAGTAAGTATGAGTAAACTAGTAAGTAAGTATGAGTAAGTATAATTAAGTATGAGTAAACTGAATGAATTAGCCAATATTATCATTGCTTTTTGTTTACTTTTATCTATTATGAATGATATTTACCTAGTATATATAAAATAAATACGTACCGCAATTGACATAATTATTCTTATTGATGTTACTGTTATTGTTATTGTTATTGTTATTAGTATTAGTATTGTTATTGTTATTAGTATTAGTATTGTTATTGTTATTATTATTATTGTTGTTGTTGTTGTTATTGTTATTGTCATTATTATTGCGTCCTTATCATTTTCTTTTTTTTTTTTACTAAATCAAATCTATCATTACCTAACATTATGATTAATTTCGGTGAAAATTCCGAAGAAAAAAAAAAATCGATTTTTGCGATTTTCCATCTTTCATATTCCGTAATTATTAATCCATTCATTCATTCTTTAATCCATTCTTAATTGATGGATTTTATTTTCCTTACTGTTTCACTACCATTCATTCATTCATCCATTCTTTCATTTATCCGATCGACTGATCAATTGATCGATTCTATCTTTCATTCATCGATTCCATTCAATTTTCTCAACCAAAAATGATTAGAGTGTATGTCTAATGGATGTGTGTGTGTGTATATATGTATGGTTGTGCACCGCCCAATTGTTATATTTCTGTGCATAAATGTCGTATCATATATGTCACTTTATCTGTCTGTCCGTATATTGTTGTTGTCATTTGGAAAATTTCAAAATTTGAAACGATCAACCGATCGACCGACCATCCGATCGACCAACGAATCGTCCGATCGACCGACAAACGGACAAACCGATTAACTAACCAAACCAACCGATGAAATTAACAATCGATTTTTCGTTGACGTTAGTTATTGCATAGCTTAGTGAAGAAGAAGAGGAAGAAGAAGAAGGGTGTAGTATATGTTGTAGTCTATTTTGCAATAAATATTAAATCAATAATAAGTAAAGTTTTAATATAAATAATATATTCTTTAAAAAACGTACGTAAAAATACGTAAAGCATTTTGACGTATTTACGTGTAATGTTATGGAGAAAATAAAATAATTAATAAAGTTTATTAATGCTTCATAATGTTATATTAACTAAAATATTGAATAATTAATGATATGTTATTAATTAGGATAAG